ATTTTATTTTCATTCTTTTCCCAAAATAAATGGAAGAAAGTAGAAAGAGAAATACTAACTTCTATATGATAACTATTTAGCATTCTGGAACACTTGTCAATCCAGAATATAATTTTTTAAGCCTCTAAACTACAAAGAAAATTAGTATCATAAAACTTCAGAGCAGTTATAGAAAGGTCAGTGTCTTAGAGTTATGAGGAATAAAAATAGCTCATATTCAGCTCTTCACAGGTCACAAAATGTTTTTACCTACATTCCCTTATCTGAGTTGTGTTTTTGTACTCTAAAATAGGCAAAGCAGGTAGTGTCTTAGGCAGCACAATTCAATGAGAGGAAGTGGGCTTTGGAGTCCAATGATCCGAGAGTTCAAGTCCACTGTATCCTTGTAAACTATGGGATTTGGGACTAGATCTTTAACCTGGCTGCTACAATGTTACTTAGTACAATACCTAGCACATCACAAACACATCAAAAATGTAAGTTATTGTCAGTAACTTGCCAAACGAGGAAACTGAAGGTTCTGAGGTAGCACATTATTTGCCCAAGGTCACAAAGATAGCAACTGAGAAAGAATAAGAATCTAGGTATTTGAATTCTTGGTTCTGTAGTCCTTCAACTCTGAAATTCTACCTCTTAAGACTGCTAAATAGAATATGATAAAACAGAGATTTCCCCTGTATCACTTCACACTAATTACATTAGAAATGAAAAGGGGCTGCTCAAAGCGGATACCTTGAGAAGAAATAGTTGACAGAATCACCAATAATAATCCAGAATTATATGCACAGGGGAAAACAGGAAGTCCCTACATAAACTGCTTGAGATGACAGGGAAGCATGTGGTACAATTTAGGGAGATTCCTGTTAAAAATTTTTTTTAAAGATATTTGTTTCTTGGGGTGCCTGGGTGGCTCAGTCATTAAACGTCTGCCTTTGGCTCAGTCGGTTAAGTGTCTGCCTTCGGCTCAGGTCATGGTCCCAGGGTCCTGGGATCGAGCCCCACATCGGGCACCCTGCTCGGCGGGAAGGCCTGCGTCTCCCTCTCCCACTCTCCCTGCTTGTGTTCCCTCTCTCGCTGTGTCTCTCTCTGTCAAATAAATAAAATCTTAAAAAAAAAAAAAAA